TATATATATATATATATATATATATATATATATATATAAAAAACAGTCTTCCAAAATAAACAAAATTATCTATACAACAAAATCTCATCTTTAATAACTACCACACTTCATGTAACTTTAGTAATTTATTTTCCACTAAATTCTAGGAAAAAAAATACATTTCACTTAACTGATATTCTCTAATACTGTAAAATCTGTTTCGGATAAGTCTACAATTGATAAATAGTTTTACTCGCAAATATTTTTCAGCTGCAACAACACTTCTCCTGGTTTTCTACTTGTTTAATTACCAAACTCTATTTGGTTCTTGTGTATTTTATTGTGTGCACAATACTTTGTGGAAATTATATTTTAAGCAACAAATACCAAAATTTCACTTTTTAATTTTCCTCTGTCTAATGCGAACAGTTGGAGTAACAAATTAACCAGATCAGTTATCAAACATTCCCCTTCTTTGGTTTTTCTCTACAACATGACTAATTATTTGGGATTCTTTCTAATGTTGAAATAGCTACTTTATAAAGTTATGTTGTTTTTTCTACATTAAACTTTTATAGAGAACAAGCTCCTATGAACTCGACACAGATCTTTTTTTTCCTTTTAGGAAAGGCTTAGTTTACAGGAGGTGTACAAATTAAATTTTTACAATTATACTCGCCATATGATATTAGTATTAGGCCTATTACATTTCTAAAATCTAGATTCTTTAGATAGTCCCTTAGAGATTTCCAAGAACTAGAATAGTGTATAACAACAGTATTCCAACCACACTATATTTGTCATATCCATTACCAATGATGTGTTTTGCTCAATTCATAGTCCACTACTGTGTTTGTTGTATCCCCACTGGCCTGAAGAGCTCTGTATCGAGTGTAACACATTGTCAGCAATAAATATAACAAATATAGTGTGATTGGAATACTAATATTATACACTCTTCTAATTATTAATAATCCCTAAAGGACTAGATAAAGAATTTAGTGTTTAAAAATGCAATAGGCCTAAAATGGATATCTTATGAGAAGTGTAATTGAAATAAATTTTTTTTTTCAATGAATATGTTTGTTTCATTCTCCGTGTCCAAGTTTCCATTCAATGAACTATGTACTTGCAACTAACTCGTAAGAACTGGAAAAAAAAGTGTTTATAGCCAAAACTATAGACATTTAAATTTTAGCTAAGCCTGAAAACCTGTCACCATTACTTAATTACTTTTATTTAGCTGCTAATAACAAGCAACACTTATAACTTCACATGACGTTTTGGGACAACATAGGACCCATTGGTTCATCTTGGCTGTCACACACTCTAAACTAAATTAATTAAAAAAAAACAACACGCACACAACTTAAAGCCAGCCCTTATCATTCATATACTTATCAAGCTTTTTCTTAAACTCATTTAAATTTACTGCCTCTACAACATCTGAAGGCAACCCATTCCAAAGACCAACCACCCTGTTTGAACAATAAAACTGTCTTAGCTGAAGATGACTCCTACACGGCCAAAATTTATACTTGTGTCCCCTAGTCCTACTATTGTCACTGTTAAATATGAAAAAAGATGATGCATCAACACTGTCAATTCTCTTTACAATCTTAAACACCTCAAGCAGATCCACCCTAACTCTTCATTTTTAAAGAGAAAATAATTTGTCAAACCCTCCATCCCAGGCAC